TTAGAATCACGGGCGTGAACTATAATCATAGACTGTTTGTGTTTGGCATTCTTCTTGAACTAGAACGGCCCGTTCTGAAATCAGAACGACTCGTTCTGGTTGTACTATTGGTGTGTTAATTTTGCATTTGGAACAACTCGTTCTAGGTGCAAAATTAACACACCAAGAGTACAACCAGAACGACCCGTTTTGAAACTAAGACGGCCCATTCTGGTTCCAGATGCATTAAAGAAATTTGGCATCTACGTATGCATCTACGTGACATCCACGTGACCAACAGTTAATTCCTTTTAAATAATTTAGACGAAAGTCTGACATTGCACTAATTTAAATTATTAGGGACCAAATTGAAACAAAAAATTAAGGTGGGACTAAATTGAAATAAAAAAATATTATAAAGAACCAAATTAAGATTTTAACTTTAAATGTAATATTTTGAAAAAGTTAATAAGATAAAACTTTTGTAACGAAGAAGATCCTACAATATCTCTTAGAGGTAAATCGTACAGAGGTTTTCACTTAAAGAAAAATTCAGAAATTTTAAAAATTATAGACTCAAGGTATGACAAATTGGAAGTCATTTTTTGACTACTACTAAGTAAAGCAAGGGAAAAATTATAAATTACAACTCCATGGCTGCAGCTCCATCTCACCGCTGTAGCACTAAGAAGTTCTTTATACTGAAAGAGCCTCTTACTACTAGAGCACTAGGTTGAGTGCTAAGGCACTGTATTAACCATTAATCCTTTGCCTTCTCGAGATTCAACACTGCGGCTCCAACATCACTACTGCAGCACTATATCTCTGGAGTTTTGTTCCAACTATCCAAAACTCAATGCTAGGATGAGCGCTACAGCTCCAAGTCTTTGGTTCTCTATGCTTCTTCAATTCTTCCATGGCTAAAGCATTGAATAAGAGCTGGGGCGCTGAGCCCCTTAAATTTTCCTTTTATTTCTCTTTCTACTTCAAACTCAACTTAGGTTCTTCTGCACAAAATTAAGAGAATTTACTTATTAATAATCCACCAAACATCTTATCACTCTTCTTTTTGGAATTCTAAGGGAAATTTGAGGAAAATTTCACATTAGATATGCTTGATTGAGTAACAATAAGTGTTGATTATAAGATAAAATCATATATTCCATTCAATCATATCACTTAGCTGGAAAAATGCTGAAAGAACTCATGATTTCCACCAACCAAACAAAGAGAATATTATGTGACAAAAGCTACCGTACATTAGTATGACAAAGAATCCAATTTTATAGCATAGAACAAAACATATAAAGAATGATCGACATTTCATAAAAGAAAAAATTGACGATAACGTTATAAATATTAATCGTAATGCAACCAAACAAAAAACATTTTAATTCCTAACTAAAGATTTTCCAAGGCACACATAAATATCTCAAATCCAACTTGAAAATGAAAAACATCTATCTCTCAGATTACTCAGATTGAGGGGAGTGTTGATGTTTGTACAAATTAATTAGAATCATGCAATTTTGATTTGTATTGCCAGAATTAGGATCTAATATATTTTCTTTCCCGTTTAACAAGTCATTATATAAAGAATTAATTCTCTCGATTATTGGCCTAGATTAGTGTACAAAATCAATCTTGTATTACTATTGATAATTTAATGAATGTTTGTAAACACAATATAATAGGAAACCCTATCGGTTTACCAAAAGGCACAAAAGCTATACATTCTAGCTTTGCACAAAAATGCCGATAATGTGTAACCAAACATCAAACACATTACATTCTCCCTCATACTCATTTCTCCATATTGTTAGAACTAGATTAGTGTACAAAATCAACCCTCTGTTATTATCCATTACTGTACCAACGTTTAAGTAAGTAGAAATATAATTCACTTTTCGTTTTCGGCACTAGCAGTCCTATATTTATATTTTTATGGTCTGTGGACACAAATTGTTAAAAAAGAAAAATGTAGAAGTAAGCTAAAACTTGGATTCTTATAAGTGACGGATCCATAAATTTTAAGTAGTGAGGGTAATATTTATATATAAATTTGTAGTATTAAATGTGTAATTTATATATTTTTTTTAAATATAAATATATATCAAATTATTCTCTATGAGATTTCATATTTTAAAAATATTGAATGATTTTTTCATTTTTAACACTTTCATCTCTTTTTATATCCCAGATAAAAAATTTGACCTTTTTTCATTTTAAAAATAGTATAATATTTAGGTTAATCATCACTCCTTAATATTTTTACCAACTTGACTTAACTATAATTAGTACTCTCATTATCTCATAATAATTATTACTCTCATTATCTCATAATAAGTATGGTTTTAGGTTGTTCTATATATGCTAGAAAAAGAAATCTTGTGATTAATCTTCTTTACTATAAACAATGCAATACAATATTCACTTTCTAAAAAATATTATGAAAGGTATAAATGAAAAAATAATAATATTATATTAAAAAGTTAACATAACACTTATTTTAAGATTTTTTTTAAACATGACTCTTATTACGAGCTGTAGTATATTATATATACTGTGAAGAAATACTTCAAAAAATTAATATATTAACTTTGACTTTTTTAACAAAATAAAAATATAGAAAAGAGTGAGAACACTTAATTTTTAACATGGCAAGTGTGAGTACATTATTATAAATTTATAATGAGCTAAAATATGTTTTTAATATTTCAAATTTAAGGTAAATTTATTTTTAGTCTCTCAAATTGAAAATTAGACTTTTTATTCCTTGTAATTTTAAAAAACCTTGTTTCAGTTTTTATACTCAAATTTTGTTAAAGAATCTATCAAATATTGCCACTTAACATCTATCTACTGACGCCTTTATCAGTAAAAATATCACATTAAATTCAGTTAAAATTATATTACTATCTTAATTTGTCATTTTTATATATGTTATTGATGACTTAAAAAATTAAAATAAATTTTTTAAAAATTATAGAAACTGAAAACAACAATTTTAAAATTAATAACAAAAATATATTTAAATCTTAATAATATATATATATAAATTAATTAAATATAAAAAAATGTTAGTGGGGCAAATGCCCCCACTTTCATGCATATATAGATGTACTGTATAAGTGGTTAAGTTTCCCATGACGAAATTCTCAACCGATTATTAACTTACAACATGTTTATTTGGCGTTTAACGCCAATTTAATTTTAAAATAAGACCTTTTTTACTTTTTAAAATTTTGTTTTGGAAAGTAAGAAATTATGATTACTTTTTTTTAAATGTGGAACCAAAGATACACTTAATTGTTAAATATGTCCACATATGTATTAATTAAATTATTAATATATGTTTAAAATTTTGTATTTTGCACTAATTTCATAAATTGAACTCATTATTTTTTTTATATTTGTTTTTTTATATATATGATGATGATAATTATAATTTTTTTTTATAAAAAAAATTATCTCCACTAAATTGGGATCTTAGACCTGCTATTAGAACTACGTAATATGACAAAACTTTTTAAGTTTTGTCTTGTTGTCTCATTTCATGAATACATGAGTCATAAATTCATTCAAATACAAGTTTAGGAATGTTTTTGGAATTTTTTTCTTAAAAAATATTCTTTATTTAGATAAAAAAAAATCTGAAAAACGTTTCTATATTATATCGAAACATATTTTCTTTCTAAGATCTACTAAATTACGGACATCTAAAATAAATGGTGAATTCTAGCACGGGGAAGTGAATTAAATGGTCCATATTTTATATTAAAGTATTCTTAAACTAAATTGATTCAATTACTTTAAACATTTTTTTACTCAAATCTAACCTGTTGAAACATCAAATTTCTCTTAAAATTAAAAATAAAAGTTTGAAAAATTATATAAAACAAAAATCTTTCGAGGAAGCACGCGATGGATCTCATCGTTTTATGAAAAATTAATAAAAACGTACAAAATTGTCCGTGTTAGCTAATTCTTCAGCCAAAAGGCAACACAATAATAAAGTCTAATATGATTTACATTTCCAGAAATAATTAATGGTGCTTCATGCATTACGCTATTGTAATCCTTTACAACAAGCAAGTTACGCCATGCTGGACTCTCGAGTCAAATGATAATAACCACTGAACAATACAAAAACTAAAATGTTATTTCACGTTGCTTTTGCCGAATGGAACCTTTCTCAATTTGACAAAAATAAAACTCCTTTGCCAAATTAACTTAACAAATTCTGATCATAATTCTAGATTCATAACAATTAACATACTATCTTAATCATAAAACCACATTTATGCATGATGGATTAAATTAAGTTAGGAATAACGTAAAGGGTATATTAAGATTAATAAGCTTGAAAATGTGTCGTTACTGTCGTATATACGTTACACCCAAACCACACTAAATGTTCAATAAGTGACATCAGCTTTTTATAACCACAAACGCGTTAGATTTCTATTTCAGAAGAGTTATAACTGTACAAGTCTTCTGGCCATGTTCAGAAATAGACTATGCTGCACTTTTTCATGCGTAGCACCACACTACTCTTACCTTTCGGGTACATTTTCACGCTTTTTTTCCAAACCTTTCAAAAACGGTCTGGTCGGTTATTCAAGATAAAACCAGTTACCATAATGTTTCATAATTATCCGAATGTTTCACTACACTTGCGACCCATGATGCCTCAAAACCGCACGTATAACCATGTTCCTCACTCTCCTCCTCCACCTATCTCCTTAATCTGATAGCGTGATCAGCATGCAACAGAAAGATGACCCTTCAAGCATACAATAACAGATAGCATGACACAAAAATTATGTGCCACAGCTTCAGGATAGGCCCCTAACTCACACAACTCTTTAAAAAATATGCAAAAGAAAATTTCTCAAGTTTCCTTCCTTAATTCATTCACTTAGTATTCAATCTTTTGCTTCCATACTTAAGCAACACAAGCATATCCTTAACTCTTCTATACAATTCTCTAAGTGCACACCTTGGTATCTTCATCATTTCTCATTGTTGATCTCCATAAGGAACCTGTAACTTCCACATTTATTTTTCTATTGTTTTCTCCACACTTATTATCTTCCATTTCCCTATATAAAGCCTCCTTTGGTCCCTTCTCCCCCCATCTTTCATCGAATTGATATTCCAAACACAAACATGGCAATGAAGAAGCTCTTGTGGGTTGTTCTGTCCCTTGCTTTGGTTCTCGGAGTGGCCAATAGCTTTGACTTTCATGACAAAGATTTGGCATCCGAGGAAAGCTTGTGGGACTTGTACGAGAGATGGAGGAGTCACCACACGGTTTCGCGAAGCCTCAGTGACAAGCACGAGAGGTTTAACGTGTTCAAAGCAAATGTGATGCATGTCCACAACACTAACAAAATGGAGAAGCCTTACAAGCTGAAACTGAACAAGTTTTCTGACATGACCAACCACGAATTCAGGAGCACCTATGCTGGCTCAAAGGTGAATCACTACAGAATGTTCAGAGGCACACCACGTGGGAACGGGACCTTCATGTATGAGAAAGTTGGCCCTGTCCCTCCATCTGTAGATTGGAGGAAGAAAGGTGCTGTTACTGATGTAAAAGATCAAGGCCACTGTGGTAAGCTAAATGATCACTAGTCACTAATCATAGAGCTTATCTCTAATTCTCTATCACTATTTTTCCACATTTGAGTGAAATATATTTGAGAATTTAATTTTTAACCAAGTCCAATGGTGTTATATGATCTAAGTAGTCATTCTCACCTGATAGGACAAAACTGTTGTTGTTGGGTAAATAGCTATAAGGCGGAATTGATGTGCTCATGAATGCTGTAGTTTTTTTTTTGTTTTATTTATTTTATTTTTAATAATAGTTACACTGAAATTCAATCTAAGATTTTATACATATTACTTTAACCTCTTATCCATAGGTTGATGCTAGTAATTATATGCTATAGCTTATTGTTATTGGTCTTCAAGCCTAAATTTATGAAAATTATCTTGCCATTAATTGTCTTGTGTAGGTAGTTGCTGGGCGTTTTCAACCGTTGTAGCTGTCGAAGGCATTAACCAAATCAAGACAAATAAGCTAGTCACCTTGTCTGAACAAGAGCTGGTGGACTGTGACAACAAAAAAAACTCAGGATGCAATGGTGGGTTAATGGAATATGCTTTTGAGTATATCAAGCAAAAGGGAGGCATAACAACAGAAAGAAATTACCCTTACACAGCACAAAAAGGAACCTGTGATGCATCAAAGGTGCATATGAAGCAAAACTTTGACAAAACAAATATATTTGACTGATAACTTGAGCAACTAAAAATGCAAGAATCATTCATGTTGCAGGAGAATGACCAAGCTGTGTCAATTGATGGCCATGAAAAAGTCCCTGCTAACGATGAAAATGCATTGCTCAAAGCTGTTGCCAACCAACCTGTCTCAGTAGCCATAGATGCTGGGGGATATGATTTGCAGTTCTACTCTGAGGTAAATATCTAATTCACATATTCAATGTAAAATTCTTCAAAAGTTGTTAAAATCAAAGTATTAGTTACCATTACCACTAAACATTTCCCAGTTCCCTGCACAAAAAAGTGGCACTATGTAGTCAAAGCTAATTTGACTATTGGATACCAACATTGCAACAAAATGGTATCTTAATTTTATGTACAAATGATTGCAGGGAGTATTTACTGGATATTGTAGCACAGAGCTAAATCATGGTGTAGCGGTTGTGGGGTATGGAACAACTGTTGATGGGACTAGTTACTGGATAGTGAAGAACTCTTGGGGACCAGAATGGGGAGAAAAGGGTTACATAAGAATGCAAAGGAATATATCTAACAAAGAGGGACTATGTGGCATAGCTATGGAGGCTTCCTACCCGGTCAAAAACACCTTCAAGAATCCAACAAGTCCTTCATCATCTATTAAAGATGAACTTTGAAATTTGATTGCTTCCCACAATATTAAATTCTCATCAGTATTGGTTGTTGTTTTCTAGCACGCTAGGAATTGCCCCATTTCCATGTCAACTAATATTTGTATCTCAGATTCAATTCTAATGTATCCATCTAATATAGTTCTGCTTATCACATCATAAAGAAATAAACATTTCAATTTGAATGGACTGCTAGCAATTTCTCATGTACCCTAATTTCATGCAAATTCATAACTTTAAGCATTATTTTTTTTTATTGATTAGAATTATAAATACCGCAACAAGGTTAGAAAGTCGATCCTATAAATACTACTTTAAACCCAACCATTAGGCCGACAAGAGCTACTTTAAAGCATTTATATAAATATCAGTTGATCAACTTGCATATGATCACTTAGAAGAATCACCATGACATTTTATTTTTTGGTAATGTTATTACATTGGAATACAGTAAATAGCTGATAGGAGACAGACATGGTGAAGTGTGGAGCAAGTGATGATCAGCCATAGCACCTGATGGGATCATTGCAGCCCTTTGCTGCAGATTGTTTGTTACCTTGACCTCCACCCTTCTCCAGATATTGTTGATGGTACTCCTCTGCTTTGTAAAACTTCTTAGCTGGAAGTATTTCTGTCACAATCTTCTCCTTCAATTCCAACTGTTTTGCTTCTTTCGATTCTTGGGCTAAACGAGCCTGTGTCTCGTTGAAGTAGTATATTCCTGATCTATACTGTGCACCCACATCATTGCCCTGAGATATATATACACACATGAATAAATAACTAAAGAAGATAACATGTTTTATGGAATAATAGCCTCCACTACGAACAAAATTTATATCAAGTTTAGTGCTTTATTGTTGTTTTTTTTAATAAAAGAAAATTGTTGTACTTTGGTAATATGCTTACTACTTACCAAAGGTTTATATTGGTACAAATCTAATTCTAATTTGAAAACAACACAAAAAAAAAATTACAGATAAAAAACCTAAATTTTGTCACCCCACAAGTATATGTAGCTATAAAATTAAAATAAGATACACACAGTGCACGTTTGGATGTGAGTCGGAGATCCATGTTTTTTAAGTAAGTCTGGGTCAAAATTTTGGTACCCATGCATAAACAAGTAATAGTTGTTTCTCTCGTGGATCAAAGTTGACATGACTCACTGAAATAGTATTTTAAACTTTAGGTAATGTTTGTTTCCAGGGATTTACTGTTTACGAGCAAGGAAAGGCGAAGAAAATTGCTGATTGTTTCCAGTGATTTGCGACGACGGAAAGACAAAGAAAAGGGGGGAGAAGCGTGGTTTGCGTCCTCGCACAAAAGCGAAGAAAGGAGAAGAAAGCCACGTAGGATTTGTGAAAACCCGGAAATGCCCCTGTCCCATGCATGCATAAACGATTATACGAAGGAAGCATAATCAATTATGGTTGGCCACATAATCGATTATGGCTGAGGCTGAGCATAATCGATTATGCAAGGCCATAATCGATTATGTGGCCAAGCATAATCGATTATACTGGGGTATTTTCGCTTCCAGTGGAACCCAGAACGGCCCGTTCCAAAAATGAATTTTATGTGCAAAATGCGAACGCAGAACGGGCCGTTCCACTTTGGGAACGGGCCGTTCCAGTTTTGGAATGGACCGTTTCATAGATGGACGTTGTGAGCTAATTTGTAACCCCAGAACGGCCCGTTCTGGTTTGAGAACGGCCCGTTCTGGGTATCAAATTTTGTTTTACAAAATATAATTATCATAATATATTTTGTTATTATTATTTATTATTATAAATATTATTATTTTCATTTTTATTAATATTATTATTATTTATTATAATTAGTATCATTATTATTTATTATGATTCTTATCATTTTTCTATTATTTATTATGATTCTTATCATTATTTATTATTTTTTTAATAAATTATACCTATTAATATAATTTTATTGTAATTATTATTATTTACAATAAATAATATTATACTCATTTTTAATCCAAGGGTAAAAGTGTAAATTATATATTCATCTATTAAATTTTTAATTTTTATCTATCATTAAATTTAAAGTAAATATTTAAATTAAATTATTTTTAAATTAATATTTTATATTTTTTTTAGTTAAAATTTATATATTTATCTTTTAATTATAATAATTAAAAATCTTTTTTTAACCAAAGGGCAAAATAGTAATCTTACACAATTATCAATTAAAAAACTTATTTTTATCTATCACATCAATCAATTCACTCACAAACTTTCACAAACTTTCTCTACACTTTTCACTCACTTTCCCTTAATCCAAACAATCTTACTTTCCTCTCACTTTCCCTTCAAATCCCTCCTTTTCCACTTCTCCTTTTCCATCCTCAAATTCAAACAAAGCCTTAAAAAGTGCATGCAAAGAGATAAGAGCAAAGAATATAAAGTGTCTTTTTTATACTAGTTCATCTAAACTACAGAAAATTACATCAGGTTATTGATCAAGTTCTATTATCTTTGTAAAGATACAAGTACCTTTTTTCTCAATAATTTATTTAGATGATGAAACTGACGGAAAGAAAAAGAAGAAAGCCAAAGGTATGTTGGAAGAAGCAAGATTGGTACCAAAGATGCAATCAAAATTTGCCTTTAGAGAGTGTTAGTTATACACTTAAAAGCACTTGGAAGTTAGAACTAAATCATGAACTTATGTACAAGTTCCCTTTCAAGTGTTTTTGACATTTCTTTTAAGTTTAAATGTGTTTTTAATTCCTTAAATATAAGGTAATTTAATTTTTAATTTTTTAAATATAAAATTAATTTTTTTAGTCTATGTAATTTTAAATAAATATTGTTGTACACTTTATACTCGAATTTTATTAAGGAATCTATCAAAATACTATTACATAAAATTGATGTACTAATGTCATTGTTAGTAAAAATATCACATTAAATTTATTTTTAGTTCCTTAAATTTAACACTGATTTTTTTAGTCTCTGTAATTTAAAAAAAATCTTGTTTTAGTCCTTATATTTGAATTTTATTAGAAAATTTATCAAATATTATTACATAAAATTTATTTATTGGTGTCTTTGTTAATAAAAATATCACATCAAATATGATAAAATCTCTTAATTTCATATATATTATTAGTAATTAAAATAAAATTTTTGAAAACACATAAACTAAAAACAACCCTTAAAAATTTAAGAAATCAAAAGCAAATTTATTCTAAACTTTTAATGAATTAAATTAGATATTAACATAGAATGAGAGAATAACAGTTGAGAAAGTGTTTGACTTCACAAGTATACGCAGCTTTAAAATTAAAATTAATTTTGTAAGAGAAGAAGAAAAAATTCCAAGCATATTAATTATATATATATATATATATATATAAAAGAGTTAAAAATCCATTGGATGGTACCTGGCGGTTGATGGAAGTGGGGTTGTGTCGAGACCAAAAGAGAGCGAGGAGATGGGTGTAGGGGCAAAGTTTGGGGTCGAACTGGAGGCGAACAACTTCAACGTGGTTAGTGCTTCCGGTGCAAACCAGTTTGTAATTGGGATCCGGTGTGTGACCCTGACTATACCCAACTTCAGTCTTCACCACTCCTTCCACTCGCTGAAAGGCCAATTCCACGCCCCAGAAGCAACCCGCTCCGAATTCAGCCAACTCGTGATCCGCCTTATCCGGACTATCCAAATCCGGTTCAAGGGCAGGGTTCTTCTGCCCCTCAACGCTTCCACTCGTAGCCATTGCATCAACTGATAATCAATCACACAGCCTTAACCTAATGCATAAGCCTCCTTCTACTAGAGGATAATTTATTCATTCACGTCTCTCTCTCACAAGGACAAGCATGTCTTTTGCATTTTTTCTAAATTTGTTTGTGGCTGAAATGCTAAGTGAATCGCTATTGTCCTGCTCCTAACGCTGTTGCCAATTTGGCCTATACGCCTATTTTCTCCATTTCCCTTTCGATTCGTTTAACTTTAACGTGTCAATGCAATCAGATTTATTATTTATTATTTATTATTTATTATTTATTATTTTAATACTTTTATTTTTGTGGTGCACTGGTGCTTTTTTGTTTTGTAAAAGTGGAATCATTAATTAATTAATGTATATATATATATATATATAAGTGTAATTATTACCTTAATAATTTTATATTAAAGTAATTTTTACAAAGGTCGCAAACTTCAACCGTGGAATTCAAATGCAAAATACAAATAGGAACTGTACTATACTAGAGATAAGATTCCTTTTGATAATTCTTTTGATAATTGTACCGTCTCGGCCGATTCCCGACATGTATCTCGGCCTATTTCCGATGCCGTTAAGATGTATAGTTGCTTTAGCCTTTTCGCCTCATAGGCTCAAGGCTGGAAGACAAGTGTACCGTCTCGGCCGATCCCCGACACGTAGTCTTGGCCTATCTCTGATGCCGGTAAGAGGTATAGTTGCTTTAGCCTTTTTGCCTCATGGACTCAAGGCTGGAATGCAAGTGTACCGTCTCGGCCGATTCCCGATTTGGCCTACTGTACTGTCTCGGCCGATTCCCGATTTTGCCTACTTTCACAGTGGGATCGGGATCCGACCTCACTCTCTCCTGAACCAGATCGGCCCTGTTCCGATCCCCCCCACCTTTAAGACCCTCTCGGCTAATACCCGACCACTCCCTCGGTGTCGGTATGGTCGGTCGGAAACTGATCAAAGATCCTCGCGTCAGCCAAGTGTTATCCAAATAATAACAGTTAAGGAGATCCCCACATTCACGGGGCCCATGAGGCCCATGAACGAGAAAGTATAAAACCTAAAATCCTAAAGCTAAGAAGGGAGATTACACTTTTGAATGCTCTGGCTTTGAGGCTTGACCTAGGAAAAAACCCTAGTGCACCTTGTGGCCGGAACATTTTGGCGCCCACCGTGGGGCTACGGTGAAACTTTTCCTACGCCCAAAGAAACACAAAAAACCTACACTCTACCATGGCGAGAGGCAGCAATAACAACAACAACTCGCAACCACCAACCATGGAGGAGATGATGGCCATGATCAATGGCTTAAGGGAGGAGAATGCGCGATCCAGGGAGAGAGAGGAGGCCATCCAATGTGAAAACAAGGAGATCAGGAGGCGAGCAGACGAGATGCAGGCCATAATAGAAGCCAGTACCAGGACGGTGGAGGAGGATGTTATGTTGGAAGTCCCTAGGGATTTTCGGCCTTTCTCAGAAGCCATAGAGGCCGAGGCCATCCCCAGGGATCATCGGATACCCCAAGTCGATCCCTTTGATGGAACGCAGGATCCCAGTCAGCATCTGACGGATTTCCGAGCCCAAATGTTGATCTGTGGGGGAGGCATGGAAGTCCGCTGTAAGCTTTTCATGGGAACACTAAAAAAAACAGCACTTGATTGGTTTAGTGGTCTCCCTGACCGCTCAATTACCGACTTCGACGTTTTCAGTAGGCTTTTCATGGCACAATTCGCTGCCAACAAGAAGAAGCCACCGATTACATCGGACTTATTCGATCTCAAGAAGCAGCGGGAGGAGTCGCTGAAGGAATTTATGCAAAGGTTCAATGAGGTCGCTTTGAGGATAGCATCTTTGGATGAGAGGATGGCTGTCATCACATTCTAGAAAGGCTTGAGGTCTGGAGCTTTCGACATCGCTCTGGAAAGAGCAAATTGCCAGACGATGTCGGAGGTGAGAGCCTTCACGCTGAGTCATATCAAGACGGAGGAAGGACAGATCAGCAAGAGAGCGGCGGAAAGCCGAGAGGCGGGGGGCAACAATAAGGAAGGAAATAAGCATCTCCGACCACGATCGGACTGGAGTAAACAACGTGACCGTTACAACTTGAAGGAGGGCAATTACAGGCAGGCCGATCACGGTTGTCGGGCAAGGGGCGAGTGGACCCGCAACATTGGCGAAGAGAAGTTTTCCCCACTCAATGTTCCCAGGCGACAGATACTTCACGATGTGAACAGCGCATCGCTGTTTGAATTTCCAGCGGCAACGGAACGTCAATTGGGACCCTTTAAAACTGATTGGTGTGAGTTCCGTAGAGCTCATGGACACTCCACTGAAAATTTCTTTGTCCTAGGGAGGCAGATCGAGCGTTTGATCAAGGAGGGGTGGCTGAAAGAGTTTGTGGCAAGAAAACAGGAAGGAGGCTCGTCGGATAGGCGACACAGGCGCGCACAGGATGACACCAGGAGGGATAGGCGTAGAGAGAGAACTCCTCCCAGAGACACACCAACGAAGGTGTCGGAAACCCACCAGCAACCCATCCAAAGGGACTTCAATACCATCGCAGGGGGCTTCGCAGGCGGAAGAGCTACCTCAACAGCCCGAAAGAGGTACTCTCGGTCGGTGCTGACAGTATCAGAATTCAGGCGACCGTCTCAGCCTGAGATTTCGTTCTCAGACTCGGATTATGAAGGAGTAGCCCCTCACGAGGACGACCCCGTCGTCATATCGGCGATTGTTATGGGGTACAATGTGAAGCGAGTGTTGATTGATCAGGGAAGTTCCGCAGACATCTTATTTTGGGAAGCCTTTGAGGGGATGAAGATACCTAACGACCGACTCATTCCTTATGCAGGGACTCTAGTGGGTTTTGCAGGAGACCAGGTCATCGCGAGGGGATACGCCGATCTGGAGACGAACTTTGGTGAAGGAGTTCAGATGAAGACGGTAGTCGTTCGGTATTTGGTGGTGAATGCTCAGTCATCCTACAGCATACTGATCGGCAGACCGACCCTGAACAAGTTAGGAGCGGTAGTGTCTACTTCCCATCTGAAGGTAAAGTATCCGTTGCCGAACGGTACTGTGGGGGTCCTTAGAGTAGACCAGGAGGTTGCTCGAAAATGCTATGGGGATAGTTTAAAGGCACGAAGGCGACTGTACACTGTGCAGGTAGAGTAGGAGGTCCACTCCGTCGATCTAGATCCTAGAGTAAGCCATTTTGATCGCCGACCAGCCCCTGCCGAGGACGTTAAAGAAGTGACCGTAAAGGAAGGGAAGAAGGTAAAGATTGGAACATCCCTAAGCCCGGAGGACGCGGTGAAACTGATAGAGGTATTGAAGGTGAACATATCGGCATTCGCGTGGCACGCCAAAGACATGCCAGGAGTTGACCCCGACATCATGTGCCACAGGTTTTCTTATGGGGTCTCTTATAACCAAAATCAAATGATTATTTCTGAAATATCTCAATCCTGGCGTTCAATTAAATTAAGGTTTAAGTTATTCCAAGTTCCATAAAAGAAAGAAAAACTAAGAGTAACTTATACTAAAATAAATTTTTTTTTACTCACTTTATAAGACATTTACGTATAAGGAACTATTTTACTTGCTTTGCTTATGCCACCACCAGTTGCTTCTTCACAATACCTAACCTCGCTACCACTCATTCTAACAAAACTTTAACAAAAGTATATTATATAAAATAGAATATTGAGTTTATTTTGAGTAGTAATTGTTCTGTTGAGTATTTGGAAGTCTCACTGGACACCCAACTACGTCTCTCAACCCACATAATAAACTCAAGTTTCCTATCATGTGGCTAGAGGCACCTGTGTCTATGATCCACTCACTATGTTTACCTGTCATTTTGTCACTTGTGGTTCCTTTGTGATTGTTCAACAAATCCTTTAGAGTTTGCCATTGCTCAGAACTCAGTCCACTTAATGCATTTACATTAGTCCCATTGGTTTCTCCATTCACTTGCATTGCATTTGCTCGAAAACCTCCATTTTTTCCTCCAATCAAATTTCCTGAATTATCGTTTGCATGCAAGTCATATGGTGAAGGTATCTTTTTCACCAATTTGGCCTTCTTCTCGATCTCAGCTTTATCCATGAGGAGAGTTTTGTCACACGTTCTCACTGAGACTTTGTACGCTCTGATACCATAACAAAGTTATGGAAAAAGAATCGTTTGTCTCATTCTATTGATCAATAGGTAATTATATACAAGTATATGACAACTACAGATCTTAAACTACATGCTAAATTATCTCCCTCATATCCTTGATATGATTTGGCATTATTCTGCAATAGAGGAGAATTAAAACGGACAAATTGCACGCCAAATTAAAACAGACAAAATGTACGCCAAAGCCCTAACCATGGCGGCTTCGCTCGCGTCGCGCGCTCTCTCGAACTCGATCGATCACTGTGTGTGCGCTTTTGCGTTTGCGATAACGAGGGTTTAGAAATTGTATTGCCAAGGTTTTGTTCTAACGAGTACTTAACCAGTAAGGTTCCGTTTAATCCTGGTTTAAGAACAGACGCGGATCGAGGGCAATGGCAACGTGGGAACTGCGTAATTGGCTTTTCCGTTCCTTTTTCTCCTTTACTTTTTCTTTCACTCTTTCGCTTGTCCCTTTCTTGTTTTGAAATTTTGGGGAGTGAATTCGACAGGATATACTCCAACGCGTTTTTTTTTTTTATTCCCACTTTTTCTTATGGGGTCTCTTATAACCAAAATCAAATGATTATTTCTGAAATATCTCAATCCTGGCGTTCAATTAAATTAAGGTTTAAGTTATTCCAAGTTCCATAAAAGAAAGAAAAACTAAGAGTAACTTATACTAAAATAAATTTTTTTTTACTCACTTTATAAGACATTTACGTATAAGGAACTATTTTACTTGCTTTGCTTATGCCACCACCAGTTGCTTCTTCACAATACCTAACCTCGCTACCACTCATTCTAACAAAACTTTAACAAAAGTATATTATATAAAATAGAATATTGAGTTTATTTTGAGTAGTAATTGTTCTGTTGAGTATTTGGAAGTCTCACTGGACACCCAACTACGTCTCTCAACCCACATAATAAACTCAAGTTTCCTATCATGTGGCTAGAGGCACCTGTGTCTATGATCCACTCACTATGTTTACCTGTCATTTTGTCACTTGTGGTTCCTTTGTGATTGTTCAACAAATCCTTTAGAGTTTGCCATTGCTCAGAACTCAGTCCACTTAATGCATTTACATTAGTCCCATTGGTTTCTCCATTCACTTGCATTGCATTTGCTCGAAAACCTCCATTTTTTCCTCCAATCAAATTTCCTGAATTATCGTTTGCATGCAAGTCATATGGTGAAGGTATCTTTTTCACCAATTTGGCCCGAGTCTGAGAAATGACTGCGTAAATTGGGTTCAAAAATGCGATGCATGTCAAAGGCATGCAACTTTGCACCACTCCCCGGCTGAACGACTCCACTCGATCTTGTCTCCTTGGCCATTCAACAAGTGGGGTATTGACATTCTCGGTCCATTTCTGATTGTTGTGAGACAATTGAAATTCTTGATCGTGGCCGTGGACTACTTCAGCAAATGGATTGAGGCAGAGCTTGTTGCAACCATTTCAGCGGAGAAGGTAAGGACATTTCTATGGAAGAATGTAGTATGCAGATATGGCGTTCCCCATATGCTCGTGTCAGATAATGGGACACAATTCGCGAGCGCGAGAGTCCGCGAGTTTTGTCGAGGGATCGGTATCCGAATGACATTCACCTCCGTCGAACATCCCCAATCTAACGGCCAAGCGGAGTCGGCCAACAAGGTTATACTCTCAGGTTTGAAAAAGCGCGTCCAGGACTCAGGCGCTTCATGGGTGGAGGAGCTTCCCCGAGTGTTATGGTCATACCACACAACTGTCCATTCCTCTACCCAGGACACCCCTTTCAACCTAGTGTACGGAACAGACGCCATGATCCTGATTGAAATTGTTGAACCCTCAGTACGTGTTACAGCTTTTTCTCAGGAGGAATCCGACCAAGGAAGACGAGTTGACTTGGACCTGATCGCCGAGACAAGAGAGAGAGCGAGGATAAATCAAGTAGCAGCCCAGAGAAGAGCAGCTTTCAAGTACAACACAAAGGTCATTCCAAGAGACTTTGTTGTAGGAGACCTCGTTTTGAAGCGTGCTCAGCTAACACAAATGAGGAACAAGTTGTCACATAAGTGGGTCGGCCCTTACAAAGTTGATGATGTAGTCGGCAAAGGGGCTTACCGACTTAGAACCCTGGATGGAGGGATGATACCGAGAACTTGGAACGCGGCCAACTTACGCTTCTATTATAGCTAGTCTTTCTTTCCATTTTTAGTAGGTGCACTCTTTTCCTAACTCAGTATTTTTTCCCCGTAAAAATAAGAGGGGTTTTTGCTGAGAAGGTTTTTAACGAGGCACCACTTTTTCAATTTTTAATAAATATCATCCCAGGACTTCTTTCATGACTTTTAACGTGTGTTATCTTAAAGGGACAAAACTCGTGATTGTCGGCAAAAGTCCGACTGGGCGAGTATAAATAACTCGAAGACAAAACTCGTGATTGTCGGCAAAAGTCCGACTGGGCGAGTATAAATAACTCGAAGACTGAAACTCGTGATTGTCGGCAAAAGTCCGACTCGGCGAGTATAAAAAACTCGAAGACAAAACTCGTGATTGTCGGCAAAAGTTCGACTGGACGAGTATAAATAACTCGAAGACAAAACTCGTGATTGTCGGCAAAAGTCCGACTGGGCGAGTATAAATAACTCGAAGACAAAACTCGCGATTTCTTATGAATGAGATGGAATTTTAAAACTTGATGCATGTTATTTCTCTTTCCAGTCGGAATATTGGCGATTAAGCACAGCCGAGTCGGGGTAATGACGATTCCTCTATTTGAATTTTAATTATTTGAACAATTCTCATCCATTATTCGATTCGGAATTTGGATGACTGCTTAGGCTAATGCCTCACTTTTTAGAAAATTTTCTGGTATGACATATGAATCAGAATTTTACCGAATGGATTCAAGAAGTTCCAATTTTAACTTGGAAAATTTTCTAATATGACGTATGAATCGGAATTTTACCGACTTGGATTCGGGAAGTTCTAATTTTAATTTGAAAAATTTTCTAGATTTTCATATGAATCGGAACTTTACCGAATGGTTTCAAGAAGTTCCAATTTTAACTTAGAACATTTTCTAGTATGACGTATTAATTGGAATTTTACCGACTTGGATTCGGGAAGTTCTAATTTTAATTTGAAAAATTTTCTAGATTTTCATATGAATCGGAACTTTACCGAATGGTTTCAAGAAGTTCCAATTTTAACTTAGAACATTTTCTAGTATGACGTATTAATCGGAATTTTACCGACTGGATTCGCGAAGTTCCAATTTTAACTTAGAAAATTTTCTAGTATGACTTATGGTTCGGAATTTTACCGACTTGGATTCGCGAAGTTCCAATTTTAACTGGGAAAATTTTCTAATATGCCATAGATCGGAATTTTACCGACTTGGAATCGCGAAGTTCCAATTTTAACTTGGAAAATTTTCTAGTATGACGTATGAATCGGAATTTTACCGACTTGGATTCGCGAAGTTCCAATTTTAATTTGGAAAATTTTCTAGATTGTCATATGAATCGGAATTTTACCGACTGGTTTCATAAAGTTTCATTTTTTAACTTAGAATTTTTTAGCCTTGATACACGAATGGGAATTAAACCGATTAACTTAGAAATATTTTATGCTATCCACATGAGGCGGAATTTGACCGACTATCTGCACAGATTTTTTGTACTTGGAACAATTTTCCACTCTCTTGAAGTCGGAATTTGGGCGAGTTGATTCTTTTTAACAAAATTCCTCATTTAGGCGACTTAGCTTTGGAAAACGCTCCTTTTTAACTTAGAAAATTTGTCTCAGTTCTTTTGATCAATTCAAGAGCTCAACAATAAACACTGCGACAAGGAACATAAGCAAGACTTAGGGAAAGAAACACCGAATTTTAGAAGATACCAAAGTCAAACAGTTACACGTTTACACCTAGAAAATTAAGACTAGAACACAAAACATAGGTAGAAACTTATACAAAAGCAAGAAGGTTGCAAAGTTAAACTCAGTCGTCCTCCAGGGGG